TGGTTTAGAAATAGCACTCAGTACTAGTTAGTTTATAACAAAAATGCTAGGGATTGACATTTCACAGAATCTTGAACATACACACATTTATATATATATATATATATATATATATATATATATATAATATGTATTTGGGCAGCAACTTTTTATATAAGTTTCATTGAAGACAACTCACAAGGTACTGCGATTAAGCTTTTTATTTAATGTTTTCTGTGTTCATATATGTGTGTTCTTTTATGGACATAAAGTATATAAAAATTGTCCAAATTTCGTACACTAGCTGAGCACTTTTAGCTATTCCTTTACCTATTATTGAGGATAATTTATAGGAATGTTATACAAGTTGTATGGATATATATATATATAAAAATGAATGTCACATTTTTTCAATTAAAGGGACACAACTCTAACTTTCAATGGTTTATCATCATCTATATAATAAATGCAAATGTCAGCATGTTACTGTGTCACACTTTTTCAATTTTACTCTTAGAAGCTGTAGCCCAACATAGAACATTTTGTAATCAGGCAGACTCTATGACCAAATTAAAAACATTCCAGGTCAGATCCGGACCTGCAATCCTGAAATTTTGGATTCCCAAGTTTTCATTACTGCAATTTTTTTCAGTGATTTTTGTATGTGGTTTTTGTGACAAATTTTTTCTGTACAATAACAATTTTTATAACTGGGAAATAAATTTGGGAATAATGGAAATTAATTGTGAAATCCAGTGAAAGTCACCCATAAAATAAAAATTGTATGGAAAGTGAGGACCTACGTACATCAAATCGTCTTTAAATTAAGTAGTGGAAGAAATTTTAAAAGGCAAGCTTAAATATTAATGCAATACGGGAATGTAGCAATCAATTTTGAGTTCTCAATCAAGAGCCCTCTGAAGGAGCTAGCTTAAATGCCACCCAATAGGGCGGCTTTTAAGCTAGCATATATGTGTGTTTGTGTGCGTGTGTGTGCATACATATTTACACACACACTATCCTATGTAGAGTGTTCCATTGTAGTACCATGATTAGGAACTTCGTTTGTGACTAGTGAGATTGATACTTGTATATATTACTAATAAGTGTTGACTATTAAATGTATATACATTAAATCCTTTTGCTTTCCCTTGCATAAAGGTGTGACAGATCTCGGACAGATGTGAGACAAACCCAAGACAGACATCAACATAATGGATTTAACAGACATGACTTGCAGCACAGATGTATGCTGGATCTACAATAGATGTAACATCCAGAACAGATGTAACACCCAAGTCAGATATATGATAGATTTAAAACAGATGTCATACAAACCCAATACAGACATAACATACAAAATGGATTTTAATAGGTGTAACTTGCAACACACATGTAAGAAATTTGATAGATCTAAAATGGACGTAAGATGTAAGACAGACATAGTACAACACATGTAGCACTCAAGACAGACGTGTGATGGATCTAAAACAAATGTAAATCAGTTCCAAGACATGACTCACAAAATGGATTTAACAGGTGTAAGTTGAAACATAGATGTAAGATAGATAGAACTAAAATAGTTGTAACATTTAAAACTGACAGTGCACAAGACAGGTGTGTGACAGATTTAAAATGGACATGAAACAGAAACAAGATAGACATAATGCACAAAATTGATTTAACAGGCATAACTTGTAGCAAAATGTAACATCTAAGAAGACAAATGTGTGACAGATCTAAAACAGATGTGAGAAAGACATAACACAAAAAATAGATTTAACAGACTTAACTTGCAACACAGATGTATGACAGATGAAACATCCAAAACAGACATAGTACAGATCTAAGACATGACATCCAAGTGGTAACACAGAAATAACAGATCTAAAACAGACATGACTATCATCCAAAACATGTAGACAGCTAAGATACAATACAAGATCTAAGTGAAATTTAACATAGATGAAGGTCAAAGCCAGACATAACAGAAATGTAAACAAGTGTAACATGGATATAAAATCCAAGAACAATGTAATATGAACATAACACAAACTCAGATGTTACACAGGTGTAAAACACAAAGCAGACATTACACAACAGTAACATCCAAAACAGATATTACATGGCAATAACAAACAAGACAGTTATTATGCGGCAGTAGCAGACAAAATAGATGCTACACAGTTGTAACATCTAAGACACATCTGAAATGTAAAACATAAAACAGACAGAAGACAGATGTAAGGAAGACACAGATGTAACACAGGCAGACATCTTAGGTTAAAAAAAATTATGAATGTCTTTATATATTCATACATTTTTCAAAAATATTTACAAAAACAATAAGAGGTTTCTCTATAAATTTGCATTTATCTTGTAAGATAACAAAATGCAAAAAAAGATGTTTGCTTTGTGAGGACTTAGAAGAAGAAAAAAACATTTGCTTATCAGCAAATATGAAACTAATTATACATTTAATAGCTGCCATTCTATGAGTAATACTTGAATAGCTGACACTAACAATACCTTTCTCCTCATTTTCAATGTAATTCTATAGTAAAACCATCAACAATGCATTTACATTCTACATGTAATAGCCACTACACTATCATGTTATTCTTTACCATAAACACTTTCTTCCTGATTTACAACACATTTCAGTATTTAAAATTGGAAGCAAAGCATTGCATTTTCTGTGTGTAGTAATTACATTAATTCTTGACAATCTCCCCACTTTGATTTTAATGGTATCATGATGGTGTGATGAAAGTCTCTTGTCCTGACCCCCCAAAAAAAAATCTCTGAAAGACAGCAAATTTTGGTGTTTTGTCATTCAATCAAATTTCAGTCAATGTGTTGGGCTTAAAAACTTTACAGAACAGAACAGAAGCCTTGATATATTTGCCTACTAAATCCTACCAATGATATTACAGTTCATGAATGTATATAGAGAAAATCAAAATAATGGTAGCAATAACCATTTGCTTTGTAAAGAGAGAGAGAGAAAGTTTGTTTAACTGCCAAGTTAGCAGTTAAACAAATACTCTCTCTGTGTTAAACACATCAAATAGAAAAAGAAAATGGAGAACTTGATTTAGGATTTGCAGAAGATACTTGATAGCATTGCTCATCAAAAGCAAGTCAAATTTTCTCTCTTGTAATAAAAATAATGATGTGATTGGACAAATTGCAGGTGTTGAGGAAGGTGCAGTTGACTCAAGATTTGCTGCCACCTGACCCACAATAACACCAAACACCTGGCATGAATATGCAAATCAAATAAGCACTGATGATACAACAAGGCTATATTTGTTTAAAAAACAAGACTAATGCTAATAATTTGTAACATCTATCACAAAAAAGCAAGGCTGATATTCATAATTTGTAACAATTGTCACTAAAAATAAGGCTAATGTTAGTAATTCATAACAACTGTCACTAAAAAATAAGGCTAATGTTAATAATTTGTAACAATTGTCACAAAAAACAAGGCTAATGTTAATAATTTGTAACAATTGTCACAAAAAAACAAGGCTAATGTTAATAATTTGTAACAATTGTCACTAAAAAAGAAAAAGAGATTGTTTATTAAGTGAAACTCTATAGACAATTTTTGTCATGCTCAGTGCTTTGTTTGAAGATGAAGCCATTGACTAGCATCCAGAGATCACAATCTGATTCAAATCAGGGACATTGGAAATCTAATCATTACTGTCACACAGACAGCATCTAATAAACTAAAGAGTAGAAGTTGAAAAGATGGTATGAACAAAAAAAGTATATTGGTGTTTATATAAGTATATTAGTGATACATTTCTGAGATTCAAACATCATTTCTTCACACTTCAAATATCTAAAGTTCCTAGAAATAAAAAACTTAAAAAACAGAGTTCTTAAACAGGGCCAAAACTGCATTGATTTAGTTGAAGCAATTGCATTCAAACATATGTGTATGTGCATGAGTAAAGTTGGATGAAATAGAAAATAAATAAAACCATTTTGAATTTTTTTTTTACCTTGACAATGTTATCATTGGCAAGACATGTCAAAGTAAAAACTTTTCAAAATTCTTAAAATGTTCCAATATAACAATTAGTGGTATGTCCAGAGATGCTAACCAATAATTAACGTTATGGTTATAGATTGGTGTCTCTAGATGTGTTTCTGGTTGGTGCTATCATTACAGCTCTGCTATAGTTTGGTTTCCCCATTTCAGGTTTTTTTATACTATAAGCATTGAAAAACTGATGGTTTTGGATAAGGTAAGTTTCTGTTCATTTTCCAGGCTTTATACAAGTAGAATTTGTTTTTGTACATTGTCTTTACTTTTTAATTTGTTTTATATAATTTAGTTTAAAATTCTCATGTCTCAAGTGATTTTCAGACCATGTACAGAAAATTAGTTTGAAGTTCACTCAAAACTAACAGTTACCATGTAGTGTAGATTCCTATGTCCACAATGCCCATGTGTGTATGTATATGATGAGGTGCTGAAAATTTCTTTTCAGTACCACCTCATATACATACCTCCTCCAGGCCAACCAAGAGGCAATAAAACGTTTGTAGATTTACTCAGATTTTTGAAAGTGAATTGGGCTAAGAATGGTGATTTGTGACTTGATTCTTGCTCAACCACCGACAGCTTCTGAAGGCACTATCCAATGGTACTGCATGCCAGGATGGCCTCCTCAGTCTAATAACATTGCCACCACCATGACAAATTGACCATGGTGAGATTTGAATCCAGGTCTCGTGGTTGGAAAGCAAACATTCTAACTACTTGACCATGTGCCAAATTACTGAGTAATACATGGTAAGATTAAAAAAAAAAATGATCAAACTATATCATAATTAAAAATATGTATTTATATAATTCTTGTTCGATCTACAGTGGGAAGGGAGATAAATCCAGTTTATGAATGATTACTTCCCTTCGTCGTTTTAATAATCTGTAAATAAAATAAATACCTGTATTTGGACAAAAATTTTCTACCATATATTAACAAAGTATTACTTACGTTCATGGTGGTCAAAGCCTTGTCCAGTAATTCTCCACTGGGTGAATGTCCCAACAATAAAACAGAAAGGCCAGCAAGCAATCACCAGCCAACTGTACCAACAGGGAGGCATTGAATCGGTCACCTTGATGCTTTCCCAAACATAGTTAATAATCAGAAACTTTTCGATGAAGTAGTCCAGGCAGGTAACCATGAGGGCAGCACCAAATATACTTGTTCCCAGAATTGTTCCAGCTTTCTGGAATTTCAAAATTAGCAAGGCAAACAGAATCCCTACCCCAATGAGAACTCCAATAGGGATCCATTTGTTTGTGATGTTGTAAAATTGATCAACAGTGACCAGAACACCTGTGGAAAGTCCAATGCCGAGGTGAAAGCCAGTTAGGAAGAGCCCAACATATTGTACAAGCATGGTTATAAGTCCACAAATGATTCCAGCAGCTATGGCAATGCCAGCATTGGCTTCTGGCGGCAGAATATCTTCTTCGAAGCAGATTATATAGACTAGAACAGTGCCAAAAATGAATCCAGTGAGAAACATCACAGCCTTGAAGAAACGATAACCTAAAAAAAGAGAAAAAAAACAAAACAAAAAAAAACCATTAATATACCACAGTAGCATTTTCATTAATTTTATATGTTTCTTTTTAATTAATTACCAGACACTCCTTAATACCAGCACTCGCTTAGTCAACCATCCCTATCTCCAATGATGTGCAGTCCATCACTTCCATAAGTGGGATTTACTATAATTGTAGTGATACTAGCAAATTAGTGTGCATAATTTGCATAAGCACAAGTGAACACTCATATGAGTGGTCACTGAGAATAACGAAGGCAGTAGTACAAGCTTAGCGGCTGATTAGTGCTAACCTCTACTTCACAACAATAATATACCAAACCCAAAGTCACCCCCAATTAATATTACAAGTCATTCCCACTTGACCAGTGCTATCTCATGTCAGTTCTCTTTTGCTAATCATATAATTTCCAACCTTGATATCAAAAGGGAAAGTTTGTTCACTTGCTTTTCTAAAGTATTGTATGTTTTTAAAACAGTATATTTTTTAAAACAGTATGTTGCTATTCTTTAATTGACAAGAAATTTTTAAGCTTGGTTTCTCCTGGTGTCAAATAAGTCATTTGATGTCAAGTGGAAACTTGTAAAAGATTTGCCAAAATTACAATGTTTCAAGTACTTCTGACTATAATTGGTTATTCTCAAGGAAAGGAGATAGAAAATCAAATAGAACCAATGTAGCATTTATGCTGTTAATGTTCTTGAGTTTTAAATGAACATTGGTTAACATGTGGAATAAATTTTAGCATCATCTAGCAAAAATGATGCTTACAGTTCAAAGACAGTCTAACGCATGCATAGAGATTGAATCAGATTTCATTGATGGGAAGATAGTTGCTGTTCTTTAAAGTGAAGAGCCTCAAAAATGTTTAATCATTTTTTTTGGCAAGTGGATTAGTAACTATTTACATCGTTCAAACTATTGTTCTCATCATTATTACCATATTCATTGGTTTCATTTTAATCTTGGTCTGTCTTGTTTTGAAGTCAGAATACTATGTTCACTTATCCCAACTTGCTTTTGTGTGTCAACCCCAATTCTTAGTTTGTGAACTTTTTGCCATATTACTGTTAATCTTCCTTGTATATATTGTTTGTTTGCTTTATATTATTTTTTGTCCTGTTCTTTTCTTGTTATTACCTACTGTAAAATTTATCAATTCTGTCATTTATTTTACATTAGATCCTGTGGAGGGCTTTTAGTCCTTTAGCCATTTACCTTGAGCGTCCTATATATGTAAAAGTTATAAAAATTTAGAAATAATAAAATTATTTTGTCTTTATTTGACATCTTAATTCGACAATCTTTCTTCATATACACAACTGATCTCTGTAGTTTGTTTACATTTATTTTGTGCACAATTTTTATTTCCTTTTAAAAATCACCAATCTTTATGATCCCTTCACATAAAGTTACTATTAAAAGACATTAGGGAACCCGAACTATGTAATATTTCAAAGATATCACAGTACGCGGGATAGAAAAAGAAACATATAAGCAATGTATTATGCCCTGCATAAGTTTTAATTATGGTTTAATTAAATGACATCACTTGCAATTGTGACGAAAAGCAAAATTAAAGTTAAACCTTGAATAAAGAATTTTTTTTTTTTAAACTTTTAACTTTTTCTATATTTAAATTTAACTTTAAATGAGTTACTTTAATTTTTAAATTGCATGTAACTACAGGAATTACTATCTGTTAATTCAGGTTATTTATGATGCATCAAGATTGATGGATGGAAGGACGGACGGACAGACACATGTACACTGTACTTTATTTATATAGATTTAACCATGGCCACTCACTCTAAGGTGGTAGCTACAAGAACTCACAGAGAGAGTTCAATTATCCACACAAAATTTGGAAGTAAATCTCTGCATGAATTTTGACCTTTGATGCCAATAGAATATTTTTTTCATGTTAATAAATAAGAATGAACCAAAATTGCTTCACTCTTCATAAGGACAAAGAAAATTTGCTTACCAAAAAATGTGTAGACAATTCCAAAAAGAAAATCTCTGCACAAATTTTGACCATTGATGCCAATAGAATATTTTTTCCATGTTAATGTGAGAATGAACCAAAATTGCTTCACTCTTCATAAGGACAAAGAAAATTTGCTTACCAAAAAATGTGTAGACAATTCCAAAAAGAAAACACATGGAGCAAACGACAGCCGGGATAATCTCATAATCATAACTGATCTTATCGCAACGAGGAGAGTCCCTTAAACTGGTAGTAGTAGTGTTGGGTGGGAATAGTGTACTCCGGAGGAACACCTGCTGGAGGTGTCTGCTTGTGTGGTGGAGGGGTAGGTCTGGGCTCTCCATGTTGGTGACGGATGGTACTTAAAGGCGCCGGGGCTGGTGGTTAAGGGATTTAGTTATTGGGCGGAGAGTCACCAGCAACCAACTGTTGGGGCCATCAGATTTGCACGCTCTGAAGATGAAACGTCCAATCTGAAATCAAAACAAACAAAAATAAAAACATTAATGTGAAAAATAAACATGATTGATGTTTTGAAAACTGAAGATTACTACATTTCTTAACATTGAAGTTGCATCCCCTACTTCTGGAACAAATCTAAAACATTTAGCCTGCATCTGACAAACTGAAGATTTTTTTTATTTCATAATAAATAAAAAGGACCCTATCATGATTGCATATGCCTTGATGGGACATGGCATAAGAGGAAAAAAATGAAATTAATTATTTCCTTTTTTTATGGGTTATCCGCCCTTTGTGGATTTTTCAAAGCCCAAAATATTTTGGATTGTAAAAAAAAAAAAAAAAAAAAAAAATTTTTTTTTTTGCGAGTGAATTTTGCATTAAAATTTTTTTTTAGAGATAATGATTTTTCCAGATACAAATCCTATGACTTAACCAATTGCTGGCAGAGAAGAGGTGGGCTTTCAAGTGTATTTGTGCATGGGAAGTACATGCAACAAACTTGACTGGATTTTGAACTTGGCTCTTCAATTGCTTCTATCCATTATACAACCTACACACACACACAAAAAGCAAATATATATCTATTGAAATTCTTCTTGTATGCTATTCTTGGGAGTTTAAATCAAGGAGGGGGCTCTTAATTGGGGAGGCTGTAATTTTTTCCAATATCAATTATGCAATAAATGGAGTCAGGGTGGAAAGATCCTTCAAAGGGTCAAAAGGTGAAAAATTAATACACAAGATGGCCTTACTAAGTTCAGGATATCTGTAAAAATTCCATTAAAAAAAATAAAATAAAAAAAATGCTTGAGTGATTTGTTTGTTTAATGGCATATCAACAGCTTATAGATCATTTAATACTGAAATTTAATTTTCCTGTCGAAGGAATAAAAACATGATATGTTATTCTGCTTTCACAACTGAATACATAATAGATACTAAGCTTTTGTGACAATAATATTATAGAATCATTATTATAGACAATAATATTATAGAATCAATATTACAGACAATAATATTACATAATCAATATTATAGACAATAACATTATAGAATCAATATTATAGACAATATTTCTACCACCTCAAATATCTTCAGCTGTCCTTTTTTGACTGATAGGGAGATAGCTTATATTGATTTAGTCTTGTGTAATTCCCTTACTCGTGATAGTGTTTCTATCTTGTTCCTACTGAACCAGATTGTATAGATTTATTCAATTTGATTATTTCTGATTGGTTGCTCCTGAAATTAAGTAGATATAGTCTAGATCTGTAAGCGTGCAGCTCTGGACAATTGAAAATCATAACATGTGAAAACTGATCAGACCTACTGGGAGTTTAATAACAGCTCCATGAAAACTTACTCGCAAAGGTCAAAGATATATATTAACTGATGTCTTGTGACATGAAGTGGAACATCTGATTGTGGTTTTAATAAAAGAGGTTTGAAAGACATGATTGTGAAGTGGCTGATATAGATCTCTGAAAAGACATCTGAAATATGTAGATTAAGGTTTTTTTCTTCAAAGCGCATATCACCCGTTGCTTTCGACAAGGCTTCACATTGTTTTGCAAGATTATACTGTATTATTAAGGCCATCAGCTCAGCAATGGCTGCCATTGAAATCAAACTTTTGAAGAAGAAAGGCATGGATTAAGAGCTTTCTTTTTGCATAACAGTATAAAAACATAATGATTGTGAAACTAAGAGCATTGAACTTAATTGGCATCTCTGTTTATTTATGGAAAATGTTAAGAAAAAAAGGAAGAAAAAAAAGAAAAAAGAAAGAAAAAGCAATTATCCAATAACCTTTACCATTTTTGCTAGTTAGTGGCATTTGGTTAATGCATGACCATCTTGGGTGTGTATACACACACACACACACACACACACGTATCTCACTAGCAATGCACCCACACACATATCGGTCTACCTTGTTTGCATAGCCACTGTAGGCAAAAGCCTATGTGGGGAAGTTTAAAAAAATATTAAGCCCAAATTCCATGGGGCCTCCTCCCCCAGGCAGTACCTCTACTTCGGGAAGGGGCTGAAGTCATTGCCTGGTGCCTGAGAGGGCTTGGGCAATTCTTTTCCCTGTATTGCCACTTTAAACCTTGACAGTGTTACATTCAGTGGATACACTGAAAAGTACCCTGGTTTACTTGTGACGTATACAAATGTAGGTACCTATCGAGCTATCTATGTACCCATATAGGTACCTACCTTTCTACCTTCACATATTCACACAGACTCTTTTGAATAGAGTTTACAGTCATATAGCGTTGAAAAACTGGTTACCATACAATCATTGAAGTTAAGCAATGTTGAGCTTGGTCAGTACCAAGATGGGTGACTGCTTTGGAATACTAGTTGCTGTAAGTGTGGATGTGCAAGTGGTGTATTGGTTAACGGCTTGGAATTGTTAATCAGAGTTGAGTTCCAATTCCAGATGGGGTTGTCATATTCATTTATGCACAAATACTCTTGGGAAAGGTATGAATTCACCTCTTCTCCCCTCAGATATGGGTTAAATAGTAAAACCTGTATCCCTAAATCATTATCTAAAAAAAAAAAAAAAAAAATTATCACAATTTAAAAACATTTTCTGGCTTTAAATAAATGAAAGAGTAAATAAACTGTAAAAAAAAAAAAAAAAAAAAAAAATGAGTGAATCGATCTACAAAAGTAAAGGTTTTTTTCATTGTTTCCAGTTTAGGATTGGTTTTCTGGTTTCTTTTAAATTCTACTTCAACTCTATACTTCTAATGTCTCCAAGTAAACTCTGAAATTTATATTATTATTTTGTTTTCAGTTCCTTCTAAAGTGTTCTCTTTCACATCTAGTACCGTGTGTCTTAGTAGCATTATCACCTTGTCTGGGGGGGGGGAATCTTTCTCATGTTAACTCACAACAATGAGACTGTAAATGATTGTTGCACCCCATTCAACTAGATGGTTAGTCTAGGTCCAAAACCTCACTAGTCTTATGTCTGGAGTTGATTATAAAAGACCTGACATCATCACTAAGTATTAGTAATAATGACAATGTGTGCCAAATTTTGCCATTTAATCAACAAGATGCCCAAGAAATCATATCAAATTCTTCAAATCCCATATGTAAGAAACTTTTTTTGTACCTACGCATCAAACTGAAGATAAAACAGAACAAGTCTTGTGTGGGCACAGTTAAACAAGAGACCAACAAAACTCTTTGTACCACCAAAGACAAACTGAAGGCAAGGATTATGGCAGCATTTACCAACTTAAACAAGGAGACCATCCAGAAGATTTGTAGGAGATTATGAAGTCGTCTGGAGGCTGTGGTTGAAGCCGATGGCAATTTTATTGAATAAACTCACTATTTAGTATTTCAAGAAATTTTTGTGTTATTTTGGTAAATATATCTGTTAAAATGAGATGTCAGTGTTATTTTCATTTTTGTGTAATTTAGACGACAATTTATCCATCGCACCCTGTACTCCCTTGATAATTTTTATTGTTTTAAAAAATTATTTTTAGAAATTTAATTAATTCCAAATATATGAAACTGAATTTTTTTTTTTCTCAAGAATTAACACTACTTAATTATTTATTTGATTATTAATTTGTAATTAACTATAACCATATGAAAATTATGTTATTTTTTTCCTCTGGACTTTTTTGAAAAAAAAAAAAAAAAAAAAATTATCATAGTAATTATGATTTTACAAACATTTTTAGAATTTTAATAAAATCATAATTTATGAACCTAAATTTATACATTTTTCTTGCAAATTGATAATAAAATAAACACTATTCAATTATTTACAAGTTTATTAATTTGTAATCTGTAATTAACTGTAACTATATGAAAATTGTATTTTGAGTTTTGTTTTGGATACTTTGAAAGAAAAAAAAAGAAGCAAAACAAAAAACTCCTACCTTCATATGTTATGGTTTTATTAAAATTCTAAAAATAGCCTTTTAAAAACAATAAAGATTACCAAGGGAGTCTATGGCAATGGAAGCGTAAAAAGAAAAACTGTCTTTTTGATACATTATTTATTCCTTCTTTATTAGCCTGTGAGGGAGGTTATGCACTGTTTTCCTCTGTCCCACTTGCCTTCAATATATCCTGTGACGTGTTAAATTTTGCAAGTCCTCTTTCCTCATTATAGAAATTTCAACTGTCACTTTCTGATGTTAAGTAGAAGTATTCTTTTTGTTTCCATTTTCTCTAAAACTTTGTTATTGCTCACATGTTCAGTCCATAGTATTCTCAGCATCCTTCTGTAGAAACGGTATTTCTTCAAGTCTCTTCTTTTTCTGTAAGGAGATTGTCCAGAATTCACTGCTATATACAAGGACTGATATTATATAACAGTTCAATACTCTTTTCTTTGTTTCTCATAAAATGTTCCTGTTTCTTAATACTTTAGCTTTGTGTCAACAGAAAAATGTCCTTTTTCACACATTTTCTTTCCCTAAGTTAAACTTTGCCATAAATTTTACATGATAACTTCCCCATCCCAAAGCATTAGACATTCTACATAAATATTTTTGAAGTACAGCATTTCCTTCTTATTCTTCATATATCTAACATTCTGTTTAAAAAATCATTTCCAGATAGCACTGTATTATTGCATTGACCAGACAAGTTTATTAATAGGATTCCAGTTGGGAGGAGTCAAGATGACATCAAATGGAATTTCCTAAATTAATCATGGAGGAGTGGAACCATTTACAGACAAGTTCCTCAATATCTTATTACATAGTGACATTAAAATGCATCTGAAAACATTATTTACAAATATAACTATAAGGATTGGTAATCTATAATCAATTATAAATAGAGAAAAACATAATCCATTGTACTTGAGGAGTGCTTTAAGGTGAAAGTG